CATGAAGATATAGAGGAAAAAAACAGCCTCACGATGCATTTGAATCATTGTAATGCATGCAGCCCACTCTTTGTCCTGTCCAGCTGTAGCGGGGCTCAGGTGCACTCTCTGTTTTCATAAAAAGCATCAACACCGCAGCAGCAGAGGCGATTTCATCTCGCGAGTAACCTAGAAAATTAATATACTGTACAAGCATTGGGACACGAGTTTTATTCGTCTACGTACAATAATATACTTGGGCACAATCTCAGGTCAAAGGGTTTCTTTTATGAGTTTTGGATTTTGATCCAAGGTGTGTTTTGATATTAAATGTCACAATGTGTGATTACGGAATAAAAGATGAATGATGCCGAGCTGAGGGTTAGAGATAGAAGGCAGTGCTGATCAATCATTGAGCAGGTTCCCAGTACACTGACAAGAGCTATGCAGAAAGAGCCCACCCCACCAAGTTCTACAATGCTTTCAGTCACAGAAAAGGGATTCAGTCGCAATATTTCTGTTTTACCTTCAGGTTGTAGATTTGTTGGAAGTTTTTTGGTAGTTACCTCTGATTACCATCACAAAGATCAAGGTTTTATAAGTAGAATGAATACTATATTGGAAATATTGACCTGACGATCATTTCCCTAGATTGTTCTATTTTTTTATTTTAGTATTATTTTGTTGTTGTTAAAATTAGTTGTGAAATGTAGTAGCAGTAGAAACATTTCAATTGTATATGATCAGATAGGATAAGATAGACTTTTTGATCTCGCACTGGACAAATGTACATGTGGTATAAAAGGATTATATATTGTGTCATTTAAGTTGATTACAATTCTGCACAACTCAAAAATATCCTCTTTACAGGATAGAATGGTTGCGTCACCCCAAAATGTAAAGAGGCCATATTATGCATGCATATGGTATGAGGAAGATGCTAATGACAATGATTACTTTGTCATGTCATGTTTCAGAATGTGAAATATTATCTTAAATATATCATATGGTGAAACAAATAAGTCATACATTTTTTTCCCTAAATGTAACTCTATGCCACCATCAGAGGGAGGACTTCAATTATTGATTTTTTTATTCTAAGTTGTAAAGTTACTGGCCACAAACACATCTTTGAGATGGAAGATTAGCAAAACTAATTAATTGGCACTTTTGTTTTATAAGGAAGTATGACGTCTTCGGGGCATAAAAGAACATCATACTATTTCAGGATTGACACTCGAGCTTTTAGACATAAAGTTCCAGGTCTGTTTTTGATCAGGAACAATGTTGAAACATAGCTCTTCTCTAACCATGTGAGAGTGTTCCTTTTTAGCATATATCTTCTTTATTTTTCTCTCCTTCAAGTATGAGACAACCCTTAAGGTAGCAATATTCATTTTTTTCTTAAATAGACGCAAAATGGAGGCCTACAGTATATATCAATAACGAGGCACATTACATTAAAGACAGAAATAAATTGCAATGGAAACATTTGTATGAAGCCATTTCACTGTGTAATTCTGCTACATTAGCGCCTAAAGAACTATGATACAGTTGAAGGGAAACATAACGTTGCAGTAAAATTGTTGCATGAATCATGATACTGGAGCATCTGCATGGACAAAATTAGCACAACAAAAAGAATGGCCCCAGCCGTGATCAGCTGACGCCACCAGGAACACTTCAATCCCGTCTTTATCCCTTAAAGGTCGTCTCTCCATTTGGGGCTGTGTGTTTTTCATTCTTCCAACGGGCTTCAAAATGCTCCATCTTAAAGTTTAATGCTAAGCCAACTACACAGCAGTGTCGTCATTTATTATTCACTCAATTATAATCATGCATCTGCCTGGTGATGTAAATATTGTAAGCTTAGCACGCAGATGCACCTCGATCCCCATACCGTGAGAATCATAGTGCAGAATTCAGTTTCCAAAGAATTTCAAAGATTGTGAAAACCTGAATGATGTGCATACAAGTGCAGTTTTAAAATGGTGGATTGAATGAACACACTCTACATACAAGAGCCTTCTAAGTTACTGTTTGTACCTTTGGGCTGAGAGCTGTATGGAGTGCGGGTGTTTCTTTATATTTCACTTTTCTGTCAAAGACTGATCAAACTACATTTCAGCCAGGCATAGTTTTATGGATTTTATTACATTCATTTTATTTTTTGTGGTTTGAAAGTTAAATAAATTGAAAAGAGTTGATGTTCACTTTTCCCAGTCAAACAGGATAGCCAAAAATTGAAAATATATGGGATACACTGATATTTTCTTTCTTTTTTTAAGGTTGTGTTTCCATGCTCTGCTCACACTGTTGGCAGGTGGGTTGTGTACCTTGGGGGTCCGGTGTTGCTCTCTGGAGGGGGCGGTGGTGACAGGGCTTCCACTCTGTACCTGCCATGGAGCTGTGGCAAACAAACACCAGTTAGAGCTGCTTGTGCGAGGAAGAGACAAACAATCCATGGCTCATGAATAAATCAGATGTATTCAGTTGTTTGTGCAATTACATGTGCTCGTGCAAGTGAAACTTCACGACTGATCATGGGAGCTGTATGGCAGGAATCAGAGGGAAGTTGATCATTTTTTAGATTTTGTAATATTTTTTGATTAGAAATAATGCAGAATTTAAGCCTGGTTCACACGGCAGGATATTTAGGCCGATTTAGACCCGATTTACCCCTTACGACAATCTTAAGAAACGCTCCGATTTCCGTAACAAAATCTTACAGATTATCCTGCCGTGTGTGGTGTGTTAAGACTGCACTCGTCGCTCGGAAGGACATCGGGACTGCTCCCGATCTCAAATCGGGGATATCCAACATGTTGGATTGTTTTGGCCCGATTTCTTGTCGTGTGTGGTGTCCTCCGAGGACAAGCGAGCGCGTTGCCATGACTACGGCGTGTAGCCAATAAGAAGACGAGGTGACAAGCCGGTGAGGAAACACCGGAAAAAAAACCAAAACACAGCAGCATGGCTTTGACCATTGCCTTTTCTTTGGATTACGTGTCTTCTCTGTTAACAACAAACTGCACACTATCGCCACTGCATCCTCTTCGTCCGCCATGACTGTTTACTCTGAAGTCACGCTTGATCTCGAGAGATTTTGTGAGATTTCCGTCTGACCTGGGAATGCTCGGGGGGGGGGTTCGTGTGTGATGTTTGTGGCTTGCGTGATCTTGCCGTGTGGCTACGCACCACACACTGCACGACCAAAGTGGTTAGACGCAGGATTTTTAATCTCCCCGTGTGGGGTCTAACACGGAGAAAAAATCGGCCGACAATTTTAAAATCGTCTCGTGTGAACCAGGCTTCGTACCAGGTTAATTCAAAAGGCAACTTTCCATGTCAATTAAATAGATAAATGGATGGTTTGGATGGATGGATGGATGGATGGAGCTAGCTTAAGCTCCAGTGGTAACAGAATTGTAGGGTTAGCCATGGATCTATAATAATAACTGGATTTAGGTTATGGCTTACCTAAAGCCTGAGACGGGGGATTCTCGCAGCACTGCAGACTAAATCACGTGGCACCCAAACATTTTCCCATAGAACTCATGCAAACCTAAACGCGCGACCTCACCTGCCAGAGAACCTGGAGCAGAGAACCTACAGCTTTCATAAAGTCGGCTTTTGTGGGGATTTTAAGTGTCCCTTGTCATCCGGTAATTTTGTTTTTTTTCTTAAATCTTCGGTTTCTTTAAATCCACACTTTAGTGCCACAAACTCTGCCTGTCCTGGCTCTTGGCTCTAAAATCCCGCTCTGAAAAACAGCTCTTGAGTGGTCAGAGCACGGCTGAGTCCCCCCTCTGTGCACGCGTGAGACCCCGTGTCGAGACCCACCCACGCAATTAAATAGGGCTCACTTGGATCGCCGGGGTGCGAGAGGTTTTTAAACCATAGACTGAAAAAAAAATTCCGTCTTACGCTTACTCCTCCCCGTTTACCGTAATGACCATGCTGTCGGGGGAATTCATGCGATATGTAAAGACTACCCCCTCCCCAGCTCTGACAAAGCCTATCTAAAAAGGACAAAAACGGCGGGATCTTCACTGTAGACTCCGCCCTTGCGTGACGTTGTAGCTCGCCGTGCTCCAATGCTAACAGTCGCGAGACCATTAAAAACGAGATTCAAAAATTCGTATTACAAAAAAAGAAAACTCAGCCTGGTTTCATATATTGTGATTAACCCTGCGTTATCTCGGAGGAATATCTAGCCTAGTCTAGTGTTGAAACAATTGGAAACCAGCTATAAAGTGGTTTTAAACATGTCTAAAGTCCAATGCTTTTTTCAATGGGGGCCTAGCGGCCGATAATATCAGGTACTACAAGCAAAGCGGAACAATGTTTCGTTGGCCAAAAGCAGGGCAAGCCAGCGGCCCATTGGTTTTAACTGTGTTGCCACAGAAGTGGAGTTTGCCCTTTTTTAAATAGCTTGTGTACCACATGAAACACTTAGCTGCATTCTTCCATACATCTCCACTAATAAACAGTGCAATGACATTGTTCCTAAACAGTAGAATGTGTTTGACCAGAGAATGAGTATTACCATCTTAGGTAGTAACTGAATACTTTATTTATACTGTATTTAGAATTAACAGCATCTTCTATATTAAGCTTGTGCATGACAGCACTTCGGACCGAATTAACACCTTTCTGAGTGACAGTGCAGGATTTTAGAGGCAGTTGTGGTGAACAGGTCTGAGCTCATTCTACACATTAGGACGTGGCTGGAACATACTTAGCTTTAAAATTTTTAAACTCTGTACAGTCTCTTTAAGGCAAGTATTCTGTACTAAATACAACTGCAAATATTCTCACCATGACTGAGTATTACTTGAGGAAAAAACTGTTTTCCCTCCAGGTGGCGCATTGTGGTTCACGGAGGTATTGATGGTTTCAGCCGTCTCATTGTCTACCTCACAGCAGCAACTAACAACCGGGCTTCAACTGTTATGAGGTCCTTCTTGGAAGCTGTTACTTCCTTTGGCGTACCATCCCGTGTGAGGGCAGACAAGGGAATGGAAAACATTGAAGTGGCACGCTACATGGTCACCCAGAGAGGAATAAATCGAAACTCCTTCATTACAGGGAGAAGTACTCATAATCAAAGGTATTCCACCTTGATTATACAATGTCTGAAAGTGGTATTGGCACGCTAAGTATAACTGACAATATGCAAAAAAAGGCCAACATGGATCAAAAAATAATAAAATATTTGTCTCACATTCCATTACTGGTTACCTAATTAATGTATACATACAGTATCTCACAGATGTGATGACATTTGCTCAAATGTAGGCCTAGTCCATGAAAAAATATAATTACGTACTTCTCTTTAAAATATCAAATGTTTCTTTTTTTCATGCAAGCAAAAAGTTTGTTTTAAGTTTATAGATTTAAGGTAGTTACTTGCAAAACAATCTTACACTGACAAGGGTCTCACCCTTTTCATTTTAAACACACACACATTTTAAAGGTAAAGTTATATATTATGATCGCCGTCATTTTGTTTGTTGCATGTTGATAAATGTATAACTATGAAACTTTCAAACTTTTAATACAAAGTATTCTATTTTTTTTCAGAATTGAGAGGTTGTGGAGAGATGTGTTTGGAGGTGTTCTCGACCTCTTTTATACTTGTTTCTCCAATCTTGAGGCTGAAGGTATGCTCAACCCAGATGATGAACTTCTCATCTTTGCACTGCACTGGACCTTTCTACCGCACATTTCAAGACACCTGCGGTTTTTCCAAGATGGATGGAACCATCACCGACTAAGAACTGAATCCAATCAATCACCGAATCAGTTATGGCTTCTTAACCCTCGAGAAGGCCATGACCCACTGCAGGTTAGTTGTTTAGGCTACACTTTCATAAAAATTTACAAATAAAATATTGTTTAAATAACGTGTTTTTACATCTTAAATGTAGACTGACAGTGAATATGGCATTGACTGGGAAGGTCCCTATGGCTACCACCCCGAAGGAATTCAAATACCTGACATTCAGCTTCAAAGGGACCTGACTGCTGATGAACTCCAACAATTACCAGATCCAAATGGGTGCTCCTTTTCTGGTTGCTTAAATGTCTATAGAGACACTGTAGCTTTATTACGAGAACTGTTGGACAATTAATTTTCTTTTTCTACAATGTGATGTCATAATTTCAGCTGGAGGGCAGGGACCCATACAATTCTATGGTAGAGGAACAGTTTTTGTGAAGATACTTTATTTTTAATTTCAACAATGCAAAGTGTTCAAATAAAATAAAGGTGTATCAACCTAAGTCAACAAGCCTTGGCAACATTATTCTAGGAAATACACAAAGTATGATAGAAAAAAAATAAAAGGTCACTCTAGGACTCAACATGGAGTCCATCAGATATGTAAATTTACAGGCTCAACATGCAATAACAAAACATGCCTGTTCACTAAAGCACATACACATGCTCCTTAAAAATGACCAAACCCCGCATAGGACGATGAAATGCTTGCCATGAGATGGCTTTGGAACGTGTCAAAGTTGGTAATGCCTTTTGGCAGTTTCAGCATGAACAAACATGTGGATGAGTGTGGAAGGTCCTTGTCAAATACTTCCACTCCGAGCTCCTCAGGAACCACATCCCATCCAGTCCAGAAGATCAGCAGCTTTTTTAAGATGTCTGGCGAATCTATGAATTAAAAATATTGGTAAAATAATGGCTGGGCAAAAATGTAACAAATAATAAAAATCACAAATTTTGTCATGTGGTTTTGAGTTTGGAGACATATAATGAAGGATTAATGTGGATTAAATTGTCATGTTTATGCAGTTTTAATGTGACCAAAGAAATGCAAATATTGATTTTGCCATATCGCCCAAGCCTTGGTAAAATTATAGGCTCAAAAACAATAAAGATTTTAATATGTGATCTTACTGTTCTCAATAAATTGACGCAAGAATGACATTGCAGTCTGCTGCTGTTCCAGGGTGCACATGTCTTCATCCACATCTTCATCCTTTAGCCATTTAATTTTCGGGAGTAGCATCTATAAAAAACATTTTATTTGAAATTACAAATTCTTAAAACCATTAGCCATATTGATAGGAAATGTAAAGAAAAATAAGATTAGACTGTTATTGACGGTCTAAAGATTACCTGTGATGTAACAATACTCTCACATGTTCGTGGGAACAACATCGCCACTGCATCTGGCCTCGATTTGAAAAATTCCCAAATGCCGGTGTCTTTGAGGCCTCTTCTGAACTGGTTAACTTGTTTGTTGGTTCGTACAATGACCTAGAATGACATTAATATAAATTATGTTCATATTGCTTTCTTTAAATTAATTCCTATTTATAGTAACTCACAGCATGATACAGGATTTTTTCTTTTAGCCAAAGCTGGTTCCTTGCTGTAACTCTTGGTAGATCCCAGGGCGAGGCAACGGCACACACCTTTGCTTTTTGTTCATCATTTAACTCCTCTTGTTCGAGCTACAAACACATACTCATGGATTACACTAAACCTTTCACATTTTTTAATATAGTACATTGTCGAATGATTGCGGGAAAATGTCAGATGCTGACAGAGAGGATAAAAGTGAGGGTTCAAAGTAATCAATCAAAGGATTGAATTATTTGCACGCACCAAAGTGATAACCTCCCGGACGTCAATATCCACACAGTCCTCTATGGTGACTATAGTTGTTTCCGGATCGGCACCGAAAAGGATGTCTATGATGGCGGTGCTTAAGCCATAGAATCTTGGACCTTCATGGATGAAGCAGTGCCCCACCATTCTTCCAGCTACGACGAAGAAATCACTCTCTGTCAGGTCTAGTGAGCTGGCTGGGACCAGATGATCTTGTTCTCCCTCGAACAAAAGCGTCTTCGATCCTTCAGAAACACATGTATGAACAGTGGTTGTAGAGTACAAGAGGTTATAGTGTTGAGCCAACCATAAACATTACACAGCTTCACATGTAGCCCTCTGACCTAAAATATATATATTTTTAACAAATATTGTAAAATCTGCTGTTGAATGTACTTACACTATTACATCAGGCCCAAAGCGCTTTACACTAAAGAACCCAATCACCCAATCATAACCCAAAATATGCAGACACTGGTGACAAGGAGGGTGAAGTGTCTTGCCCAAGGACACGACAGTGTGTACCTTCAGGAGCTGAGATTCAAACCCCCGACCTTCCGATCATGAGACGACCCACTCTATCATCTGCACCACCTCAGATTATTCTCATTTTAATTGTAAATAAAGTCAATTGTCTTAAGATATCTACATTAAAAAATTAAAAGCGTTTTACTTTGGACCAGTTAAGTTACTGTCCTGTTGAGAAATGTGGTCATGGGAATTACAATTCAACTGAAAGAACCCACCTGTTTCATGGAGCTGAAGTCCATTTTGAACACAGTCCATTATTGTGCCCAACACAAATCTGGCAACTCCTTCACCAACAGCCTTGTCTCCTTATGATGGAAAGATAAGACAACGTTTAGAAAGGTCAAGCGAGGAACCAAAACCTGGCAACTCTGATGGTGATGCAGTTTATGACATACCAATTAATTTGCATTTCAGCGGGCTAGCCCACTCAACATTTGGCCTTTTGTAGAGACAAACTATGGTCCTGCTTCTTTCGTCCAATGACTCATGTAGATTCAAGGTTATGTTGAGGGTGTTGTCATTTTCATGAGCGCTACGAATGGACTCGCAGAATAGTTTGATTGCTTCTTTAGGATCTGCTTCGGTAACCCAGGCTTATAGTGGTACAAAAAATAAGGAAATATCAACAGAAGAACTTAGTCACATATGGAAAAAGGTTTTGTTATATCATATTTGGAAGACCAACTTACCATCAAATTCACCAACTTCCAACACATGAGGCTTTGGGGGTCCTAAAAAGAGAGAAAAAATAATAATTCACACACAACCACAACTGTTTGTTAGTTTCACCGATGAAAGATAACTACTGCTTGAGTTTTTCTCAGCAGAAATTATCAAATTTGTCCACTACATGTCAGTGTTACAAGCTAGACTAAGCTAGCTTTGAAGCCTCGACACATATGAAACAATCTGGCAAAGAATGCGTAAATGCTTTATGAGTCTTCCCCTGCCCATCACAAGTGAAAGATATTGCACGCCGTCATTGACTTACTATTCATTGCTCTCGGAAATGTAGACGGTGTAGCCACTGTGGCCAATGTAGTAGCTGCTGCTGATGTAGTGGTTCTTGCTGACGATGGGTCTGTAACCGTGGTTGTCGCTGATGTACTGGCTGTGTCTGCAGTTGCAACATTAAAGTTTTGTTGTGAAAGAAACAACTATTAAGACCTTAGAGAAATATCTGGATGAATGACAATTATGTGCTTTGTAGTACAATGTAAGTACAAACCAATATACTCTTGCGAGGAATGTGTTTCAGGTCCATGTCTAGATATAGAATAACAGTGAGATAAATATTTGATATATACCAAAGGGGAAAAAATGACATTTGTACTTCAAAAAATAGTACCCAGAACAGCTCTCGCTGTGATTTTTTAATTCATTGAAAACGAAACCTTCACCACAGCGAATGGAAGGCAAGACAGGCCCTCTTCCAATTGTGGCATGGTTTTCCTAAGAATGAGCACAAAAAAGGTTCATAACCGTTTCTTGTTACTTTGAGTATTATTTGTGTTTTATTTGGAGGGCAGGTGCAAATACAACTCTACTGGAGAGAACTAGTGTTTAAAAACAATCAAAAAATAAATTATTTTCCCTGATCATTATTTTATAGTGATTAGATTCACAAACCTGGCTCATAATACTTATAAAGTCCTTTCTACTGATCTACATCGCACTCATGCTTTTGTCTCCACTTTCAGACGTTTTTCATGAGGAAATAATAGACCACAGTTCATATGAGCAGGAAGAGACGACTTTGAACTTGTGATTTTTTTTTCATGTGAATTACCCCAGGAATTAGAGAAAGTAGCAAATAAACTAAGACTATAAATCTGCATTTTGGCTATTATCATATAGTTACCAGCAAGGAATTTACAGCTGCCTTCCACCTCAATATTGGCTGTTTAGAATGTTGTGATGTCACATGAACACCATCTATAAAGACATACGGGTATATCCGCAGTTAGATTTTTCTGTAGAGGTCTGATGTAGATTGTGGAGTGATGTATGGAGGTCACTGGATCCCTCAAGTATCGAACAGTGTATCCTTCATTTGGGCATGGAATGAGCATCAGCTGGCGGCTACGGGTGGTTCCGCTGATTCTCATAAATTCAAAGCCTCCTGCATCTCTCAGTTTTGGGAAAGCTCCAAACAAAAGCTCTGACAGATCACCAGGGCTATCTTGGTTGCCTATGTCACAAATAAATGTATGTAAAGCAGCATAACAATAGCTTTAAGTAGTAAATGAAAGAATTTGTACCTCGAAAGGTCAGACGCTTCTCCCCTAATCCTCGGGTTTGCAAATGTTCTTTTTCAAGTCTTTGTGGGACTGTCGAGGAGTTTTTACTCATGAGACACAAAAACGTATGGGTGTAGCTTGATTGCCATGTGGGGTTATTTGTTCGACGGGGTCCAACAGCAGTGTTCGTTCGTGGATATGGGGCAAACAATCTTGAAACTTCGGCTGAACACACAAAAAAATTATAATGTTTTACCACTGTATAAACATACATTCAATAAAGAAACACTTTTTTATTTTTACGTTTTACTTACCATCAACAGGATGCACCAAGTGTGCAGAAGCACGTTCTAGTAAAAACATATTTATTTAAATGAAATTCAGATATGTAGTAGAATTACATTTATGTTAATGTAACAATTAACAGTACAAATCAGTGTATAGAAATGTGATTTGTGTGCACATGGGGACCTCTGAAATCTGAATGCATTGTGTGGACAGCGAGTTTGTAAGTTTTTTAAAGCGACATCGGCTAGCTTGCAGAAAAATTGTTTCCTCAGCAATGCAGTGTGATTACAATATTTTGTACTATTCCATGGAAAAGTGAAAAGCCACCTGGA